CTCATCGTCTGTTTCTCTGTCCTGGTCTGCCCTCTTGCCTAGGGCTTGCTGAATTGCCTTGGTTTGGCCCTCAAGTACCCTGATGCGGCCCCTTCTGGCCTTCAACAGCTGGAAATAGCGTCCTGCGAGGCGTTCGTCGAACTCATCTGCTGGCATATCTTGCTCTCTCCTGGAGAGGGCGTCTGGGACTGCCGCTTCTTTGCCAGGCCGATATCTCAGGGTGAAGTTGTATCTGGCAAGGATCTCTGCCCAGCGAACCTGCCTCTCGCTCAATTACCGTTTCTTCTGGAAGTATTCGAGGTTCTTATGGTCCGTCCAGACCTCGAATGACGGCACGCTTCGTAGCTCTGCGTCCCACTGCTCCAAACAGCGTATCACCGCCAAGAGTTCCTTGTCGTGAATCGGGTAGTTGCACTCGGCTGGGCTATTTTTCCGGGAGAAAAAGGCGACTGGGTGTAGGAGTCCATCGTCTCCGTACTGGGAGAGGGCTCCTCCAACAGCGTAACCAGACGAGTCCACCTCAACCACTGTCTTCCGTTCTGGGTCCCATTGGGCCAAGATAGGGGCTCCGATCAGGAGGGCCTTCAGGTGCTGAAAAGCCTGCTCGCACTGGGGTGACCAGACGAAAGGGGTGCCCTTCTTCGTTAGTGCTGTTAGGGGCATCGCTATATCCGAGAACCTAGGGACGAAGTCGCGGTAGTAGTTGGCAAATCCCAAGAAGCTGCGAACTCCCTTGACAGACCGTGGGCGCTCCCATGACTCAATGGCCTCAATCTTCGTAGGGTCAACCCGAACCCCCTTGCCAGCCTCCACGATGAATCCTAGGTATTTGACGGTTGTGGTTTCAAATTCGCATTTGTCGATGTCAACCTGGAGGCCGGCATCTTGAAGCCTCTTCATGACCTTCCTGACCTTCTCCCTATGGTCGGCAAGGGAGCCGCTCGAGTAGATGAGGACGTCGTCTATGTAAGCCGAGCAAAACTCATCCAGGAATTCCCGTAGAGTGTTGTTGATGTATCGCTGGAAGGTGGCTGGCGCGCCAGTCAGTCCAAAGGGGGTGACCAGCCATTCATAAAGTCCATATCGGGTGCGGAAAGCTGTTTTCCACTCCTC